ACTCCAAATTTCGAGGACATGATAAAAACAATTTTTCTAATACTTCAGCGGAAATATATGTTCCGTTCAAGTCAAGTTCTTTGAGGAAAGAAAATTCTAAATTGTTCAATGAGAATGAAAATTCGAAGTTGTCGAAACTACTAGACTTTATCGAAAGTGTTCGTAGATTTTTAAAATTTCTTATGTTATCAAAAATCTCTAATCCGAAAAATGTTACATCCACAAAACTTATTGAATTTAAAGAAATAACTTGAGATTCTAATGCAGACATTATTGTAGGTAATCCTTCTGAGCATATGTGTAGTCCAAAATGTTTTAATGCCTTTTGTGATTGAACAAGCGTTGCTAAACATGAAGCTTCTTGTTCAACTTTTGGCAGTTCATGAATTCTTGCTGGATCACTGACAAAATAATCACGTTGATAACTAATTGTTATTATCAAATATTTTATGTTGTGTGCAAATTTGGCTAATGAAAGTAATAGAGTTGATTTCCACCGTCTAGTCGTACATATTAGTTCAGTCAATTGATCTAAACAAGGGCCATTTCCAGTATATGAACTTAATGTTTCGTAAATTTCTACTGGAAGGTTTTCCGGTCGCAAAATTCTTTCTTTTTTCAATGTTGAACAAAAATATTCCATTTGTTCTCGTGTATAGATATGTTGTGAATCAATTGAAACCCTTTCAAGCTTTGGACATTGAGTCATGAAAGCCTTTACAACAATATGAACCATTAAATCTCGGGGGGAAGAACCAGAATATTTTGGTAAGATTTCGTTACCGAATGATGAATTAGTCAAGAATTTCATGAAATCTACATAATTATATCTTTCATTTGATAATTTTAAATAGTCTTTTTTTTGAAATTTTAAAATATCTGCAGATATTCGTTTTTTATTAGAGGAAAATTTTATCCAATCCTCTACTGCTGAATATAATTCATTTAAATCTATATCATTTAAATAATCAATATAATAAAATAATGGAGCAGATGAAATTTTAAAATTAGATTTATTTTGAATATAAGAATCTTTGTATTTAAGTAGAATACATGAAAGATATGTTGATAAAAGGTTTGCAGCTTGAGATCTTCTTTTTTCAGTAGAACAAAAACAAGGCTTTTTCTTGCATGTATATAATAATTTAAAAGGTTTACACCACAAAACTTTTATAGTTTCTTGACACCAAAATCTGTTGACCAAAAGACAAGAGCACAATGATTTTTTATCATTACTTAAATGGCAAATTATTGGTAAAATGAATTCACAGGGAAGAGAAGGTAAATTTTGCTCTTTCTTAGATGATTCTTTGGAATATTTGTAAAAAAATTTTGATATTCTAAACATCTTGTAATGCCATGCTTCAGAGTTGAAAACAGATATTCACATTAAATAATAAAAATAAAAAAAATATAAATCTCAATTTGTCGATTTCATATGGTAGTTAGAAGATCGCTAAATTTTGAATAAATTCAAAATGATGTGATCATCTGAGAATCAGTCACGAGATCTTTTAGTTCATATCTTGTTAAACAATTAAAGATGATTGATCAAAGTATTTGAATTATGCTTTAAAAAACTCTATTATTATGAAAAAAAAAAAGCATTAAAATTACACAAAAAATATTATGTGTAAATATTTATTATTGAAAAGCATCTATTTTTCAAAGTAATTGCAGACTAGCTGAGCAAGAACTTTATTTAATTGCTTGAAAATAGTTTATTTTGACCAAAAGTACTGAAAATGCACTGAAAATCTTTATAAAAAAAAAAAAGTTTTTATTATGGTAAACATAAAGGTGCAATGAAAAATCAATAATATATTATATATAAATGCCTATCTCTTATTATTTAAGAAAATTTATATATTATTTATACAATGTGAGAGTTTACAAGTCAAAAATTTGAAGCTCTACTATTGATACTAATGTTCTCTACAGTCTCTTTAATATCTACTGCTGAA